TTGTTTGCTTTCGGAGGAGTTGATGTGTGCTGTGTGCTGTTGTCCCCATGAAGGGATTGCTGGAGTACGTGATTCAACCATCCCAACATTGCAAATGTCACATGTGTTTTGCTGATTCCCATGTTGGGGTTGGTCGCAAAACGCGGCGGGTGCTTGTTTGCGTTCCAGGTGGGTTGGCAGGCAGAAAAGGGGTTGCTAGGCCCTCACCGACCAACTCCACAAGATGAAGCAAGCACAGATTTAAGCAGTAGAGCAACACAACATTTGAGATCCGGCCATGATTTAACAAGCCCAAAATGAGTGGCTGATGAGATTGGACATACCCTTCGTGAAGGATCGATGTTTGCCAAAGCAGCACTGAATTCGTGTAACTTGGCAAATAAGCTGTATTGCCGCTCACTTCCTGAGTGGGATGGCCAGAAGTCCCCAACTTTTCCGTGTTTGCCACTCAAACGGTGCTACCCACAAGTGACCAACTCGGGTGAGTTTAGATTCTGGGACATAGCAAACCCTTCAAATATATATATATATATATATATATATGTGAAAAATGACCCCAACACTCGGGACCCAGGCATATGCACATAAAGCTCAGCGTAGCCAGAGTCTTACGTTGTCTGATGAGAGGGTGCCGACCCATCTTGCCGAAGGGCGGACCAGCCAAACCCCCCAAAAAAATCCGGCCGCGCGCCTTGCGCCGCGGCGATGTCCGTGTTTTTTTTGAAAACCCGATTGGGCATGTTCCCAGATGCTTCTACCTGGTTCAGTGGACATTAGAGAAAGGCCTACATCTTGAGAACCAAAAGTATGTTGCCCGCATCTGAAAGCGGGCAGGCGGTCCCCTCGTTTGCTCCCTCCGACGAAGTCGGCTGCAAAAGAGAACCACTCGCCGGTCGGCTTGGAGCCTTTCTTGGGCACATACCATGGGTCAGCCGCAACCGCTGCGCCCGCAAAAATCCAAGCAGGCCAACGTCCCCGGACGCTTTTTTGTCTTGGGGACGCAGGCGCCCCTTCCCATCCCGAAGTTGCCCTCCACTTGGCAGCCCAACCCCCCAACCCCCAGCCCAGCCCCTTCCATCCCGGCCAGCCCGCCTTCTGCATGTCCGCGAAGCGGCCCATCTCCGCCTCCATGCGGTCCAGCAGCCTGCGGGCCACCGTGTGCTTCACCGCCGGGTGCTGCGAGATGTCGAAGGGCAGCTTCCCCGAGGGCAGGTTCTCCGGCACCTCGCGGCGCTTCGGGCGGGAGGGCGGGAGTGCGGGGGAAGCTGTGGCTCACAAAGATGTACCAAAATGGCGCCTTGGTACATGGAACCAGAGACTAAAACCTGCACATCCCTGGCTTTGTAATTTTGAGCCACACCCAAATGGCGAGGAGACGGCTTTGGGCGGCCTTCGCGAAGGGCGTGGGTGGGGGGAAATTTCAGAGAGCAAATTCGGCACTGGATTTCCCAGGTTGCAACTCACAGTGACACTGGGGGTCCGAAAACCGAAAATGGGGGGTCCGAAAACGATTTCAGGGGGTCGTTTTCGGGGATCCTGCAAAAGTTTGCCGCGATTCACCGGCGGTTTCCGTGAACACCTTGCCCACTTTTTGGAGGTGCCACAGAGGGAAATGGACGGACACCCTTTCCGTGGATTGGCGACAAAATGGTCCGAATCTTGTTCTTTGCAATTAGACTTGTCGTCCCAGGTGGAAAGTCCAGCCAGTCCGGGGGACTTCAAGAGTCCACGGCATGGAATGAGTCGAGGCCAAGCATTCATCTCTTGCACAGACCTTGATGAGCCCTGGTAAGGCTCTACCAAACAAAAAGAAAGACATTGGAGAAAAAGCATTTCAACCGGGCTCGGCCGTTTCAACCGGGCGGGATAGCATCACTTGCACCTGTTTCCCGGCAGTGCCTTCTTTCCTCCAAACCAGGGGCATTGCCTAGCTCGAAAAAAGACGCCCTACTGCCAGGTCTGAAGCTGCCTCTCCCCTCATCCCGCCAAACCGCCGCTGTCCGTTGTTTCGACCACCGGCTCACAAGAGCGTGACTCTCCAGTAGAGAAGTTAGTAGAATAAGGGCACCAACTTTTTTCTGTAGTCTATTTTAGTAGGGGAACCCTCCTCCAAATTTGGGCAAAAGGGCACCTAGCTGAGTCACCTAGGTGATAGATTTAGGGCGACAGCTGTGACTCTTCAGCAAAACAGTTCCTTCAGTCTCGAAAGACGAACAGGGGCCCTAGCCTTGGCATGATCTCGCATTTCTAGCGGTACCTTCCAACCATTAGGGGTCCGAATCTTTCTAGAAAACCTCCGGAAACCCAGGGAAAACGGCGGGCTTTGGAAAAGAAGGTTGGTTGGAAAGAATGAGGAAGCAACCCCTAGAGTATTGCCTTCCGAGATTGCCAATGAGCAGCAATCTCGGAAGGCAGAAGGCCCAAGCTAAGTGAAGATTGGTTGGGCATGGTCTTGTTTGTCAACGAGCTGCTGTCCCATGGACGCGGAGAAAAAACGGCTCGTGAGCGTACCACTCAGGGGGAGTTTGCCCTAAAACCTGAGCAAACACCTGCAACAAAACAAAGAACACGTGCCTGAGCTTGGCAGCAGGACCTACGGACCTACCTGCATTCCCAAGATCACACACACACACACACTGGAGTTTGTTGGTGCGAAGTGGCGAGATCTGAAGGTCGTTGATGCTCCTGGCCTTACCTGGGTGTTCACAGGAAATGTCAGTACACACATCCGGAGCCTTCACCCCCCACCCACCCAACCCTCCCTCCACTGCTCTGCCCAGCCAGAAGTGAGCCATCACGTCACTACTTGTGCAACACCTGGGGTGCCCCAAGCACTGAGCAAAAGGTCTGATTCCTTTCCTTTTCTAGGGTTAACTTGGACATGCGGAATTTGGGTGCGCCTGTTTTTTGTTTGGGGTACCCCGCCAAATTGTGGCTTTCCTTTTGGCGTCCCTTTAAAACCACAACCAAGAGACCAACTCCAAAAATATATATCCCCCAGTTCTTTCCCCAACAACTCCAACCCCCCCCAACCCCCCCCCCCAACCCCACCCCACCCCCACCCCAACCCCACCCCCCCCCCCCCCGGCCTCCCGCGTCACATGGCCCAGGTCCAGCACCGCCTGCATGGGCTGCCGCGCCAACGCCGCCAGATCCGCCTCCGAGGTCCTGGCAGCATCCAAGGCGTCGAAGCCACCCCCGCCCTTTCGAAGAACAAAAAGACGCCGACCACAGGGCCGTGCTTCTTTTGGGGCCGTTTGCAAGCATCCCCTGGTCTTGGAGCTACAATTCTCCCTCCATTTGCGTTCTCGTCCCCGGGCAAACATGAGAAAATGTGACCAGTAGTGAAATCGATTCCCTCTGGGGAAAATAACAAATATTCATTTCAGCCAATGGAAGGTGGGGTACGCCATGGACATTTCGAGGACGTCATGGACCCGAACCAAGGGAAAGCCGCCTTCAACCAAAAAGGGAAACCAAGGGAAAAGGGAATTCACCGTGCCACCTCCTGGTTTGATGATGTCTAAAATCTCGACGTCCTGCTCTCTGATGGTTGCTTCTTTTCTTGTGTTCTCTGTGTAGATGAAAAACAAATTAGACGTCCTATTCGTTGTTGCTTGCTGCTTGGTTTGCTTCCTCTCTGTGTGTGTGTGTGCGTGGCGTTCAACAAGTGAAACGACGGCGTGGAGGTGGGTTTGAAGACATGTGAGAAACATTTGGAATAGGCGAGGATGAACGTTTTGAGGGGGGAAATGAAAACCCGCAATGTGTGTTGGCCAGCTCCCCCATCTCACATGCGAGTTGGCAAAAAGCAAGACTGCGTACTCTCAAGTCCACGATGACTCATTCCCAACCGGGGATTGCCGGACCGAGCAGCTTGTCGTCCATCAAATCATCCGGAAAAGGCGATGTTCAATATATAAGTACCCGAATTGGCTGGCTGAGCGGTTGGAAACGATACTTGAGTAAGCAAAATTAGGTGCAGCCTGACGCAAAACAAAAAAGAACCTGAAGCTTCAAGGCTCATCATTTGGTTTGTTGAAAGCTCTTAAAGCCTTCCACCCGTTCCATGAGGCTCACAAAGGTGTCAACTTTCAGCCACACAAGGGAAAAGCAACAAGCGGTTTGATAAGGAAAAATGCAACCTTTTCGGCGCATGTCCCTTTGTTTGGGCACAACTTAAAAGCAGTTTACTGGGCTCCAAAAGCTGCCTTCTTGGGCAAGGCGCCAGGTTCGCCTGTTGATCCCCCCGCCATCCGGAGCTCCTCAGCGGCTCGTCGCCGGAGATCGCCTGCGGTTGACATGCGCGAAACTCGGGCCTTTCAGTGGCCCAAAGGGTGATGTTTAAACCGGGCCGAAGGAGGAAGTACGGGGAAGCAGTAGTTGTCCAAGCTTTGTGGGGGTCTTGTCTTGGTTCCTTGGCCGAGCGTGCTGGCTCCTGCCCACCATCCCCAACACCGCCCCCCACCCTTCTTTTCAGGGCATGGTTCGCGTTTTGGCCGCTAATGACAACGGCAGGATTCGATTTGGGGTGCACCTGCAACCAATTCATGCACAATCCCATGCAAGGCCACTAGTGCTAGGAACTGGATTGCGTCTGTGCTTGAGCACAAGCAAATGTAATGTTGGCCCTGGATTCATAAACGCCTGTATATGGGGGGTGCCCCACCCGCACATTAATAAACAGGGATTTAGTAATCCAAAATCAACAGCAAGCACTCGACTCCTCCAAACATGATTGTGGGGCCATGTGGTAAGGTCACGGGGACCTTCCGGAGAACCGCTCTCTCCCGCCATTCTGATGGCAGGCGCCCGTGATCTCATGCTCGACTGCTCGACCTAAAGAAACACGCAAAGGCATAAGGCATGGGCGAGTGACAGGCACAAGAAGCCCATGGAGGGACAGTGTAAGGTGGGCTGGACAGCTGGACTGTGTGTCAGTCCCATCAGTTTTGTCTCGCATCCAAGACAATCCTTTGTATATCATTCGATCAAGAGTATAAAGTTCCCACAGGTTCCACTTGAATTGCCCACATCTCGGGGTTCCCTTTGGTTGTCCTTCAAAATAGGGAAAAACAAACAAAAACAAAACAAAAAAGAACGGTGGACCCACTAGAACAAAAAAACATGTCTTTGGGCTTTTCCTGTGGACTTCCACGTCGAAACAAACCCAATCCTTAAATGAAAATGGTTGGTGTAAAACAAATATGCACCACTGTCCAGCACAAACTGCCACTTCAATTAGCCACCCGGCCAGACAACCCAACAATGTGCTACCAACAACATCATCAGCACCAAACATCTGGAAGTTGTTTAAACTCAGTTTTTTGACTGAGCTTGTTTTCCAAATGGTCCAAGCCCAACAAGCTGAAAGTCCAGGAACTGGCTGTGAGTCAAAACCTTTTTGGTCCCATTTTGGGGCAGGTGAATTCACCACCCATTTTAGAACCTATTTTAGTGGGGATTGGGATGTTCATTGCAGGTAGGGGCTTTTGACCCATGGCCAACTCAGGGCACTGAAACAAAGACCCCCACGCGCCCCGCGCCGTGAAGCCTTCAGCGCAGCGCTGCCTCCCCAGCCCCAGCCGGAGCTCTTGCCGCCGGCTGCGCCCTCGGGACCTCGGCGATTTTCGCGGGCGAATCGCCATGGTTGGTTTGATTGACGTCCATTCGGTTGACGTCCATTCGCGCTTTCGTCCCGTTGAAGAATGAGAAAACATACCTGGACCTTGCTGCATGCTCAAAATGTCTGCCTTTTCGCTACGAATTGCCTTTTGGAGTATGTGTCCAGTGGTGAAAAGAATCCCTTTTCAAAAAGGGGAAAGTACACATATGTTCAAGCAAATGAAACTCCTGGAAAAGCAGGCGCCTGACCCTCAAAACACCCCTGAAAAATGATAAATTGTCCAAAAATCTGGGGTGAACTCGCCTTTGTTAGTTAGTTTGAGGGAAATTTACATGTGGACATGAATACCACAAGGATCTGCTTGCGGTCGTTCTCTGCTTTGTACTTGTTCACGCGGATTCGCTTGGTAGTGGATGGACAGAATGCACTTCGCACCAGCTGGGGGATAAACCACCTACAAGCCCATGCAAGATTCGGTCCATCCACAGTAGGTTTGATGAGATCCAGTGGTGCTTTCCACATCATGCTGCGGCTCTCTTGTACGACAACCACTAAAGGGTGGTTCCACATCTAACAGAAACCCTCACAAAAGAGGCTCCCTCGCCACCGAGTGTCTCGTTTTTTTGTTTTTTTCCCGGGACAGTGTGAAGGCCTCCTTCCTGCACCCCAGGTTTAACTGGGCCAAGTGAAGCTCAAAGTTAGGAAGAAGGAGCAGCAAAGCATGTGGACACCTAGCAACTTGAATCGGCCAAACAACACGTGACTTCGCATGCTTCGGGCTGGGAGTTTTCAAGGGGTGCCTCTTGACTTCACAGAGTCATATTTGATCAGCGCTGCGGGACATGGAATCCACTTCTGTGATACAGAAAGCGCCTCCCAAAGACAAACCCCCCATATAAAGAGGCGATTCCCTTGTATCACAGAAGTAGGGATAAACCCCTGGATCCCACAACCATGTACTTGATTCATGGTTGCATGATATGGGGCAATGTGCGCCCCAACAAACTATCCACTGCCTGACTACTGCTCTTTTCCAAGTGAACCACGGCACCTAACAAACGGGCAGAACACCTCAAGGCGTGTGCCACGCGAGGAAGATCCTTAAACAGCTTGGCTCGTGGTCTCCCTGCCAACACCCCAAAATGGGTCCCAGGCACGCTTGTGGCAGCCCCACCAAGGGGCGACCTCCTGTCCCCTCACGCCAAGTCATGTAGGGCAAAGCACAGCCACATCGCCTGGCTCTCAACCACCTTGCTAGACCTATGACGACATCTTCTTGCCCCAAAACAAGTTCCAGTATCTGGGCCGTCCTCAGATCCCCTGCTAAAAGCTTCAGCGGGTTACATGGAAACCCCCACGAAACCAACCCAAAACTCGAAAAATTAAAGGAACCTGACGGCTGGGAGCCGTGGTATCTGCCCTAAGTGACTAAGTAGACTTGGACCTCTCCAAGCCAAGGAACCGCCCATGCCCTACCTCCTTTGGGCTCCCGGCTGGCGAGCGACAGAAGGATCCGCTCGCCGCACTGCAGGTCCTGTCGAGACTCGGAGTGCGGCGGCGTCTGAGACTGGAGATTGTTTGCCAAAGACTTCCCAGGGTGATGTTTCATGCGCAACGACCGCTCACTAAAGGACGAGCCACCAATGCCCATGCCTTGTGAGCCCAAAGACAATACGCTTTGCCGCTTCACCGAGCCTTCCTAAGAGCAAGGCAAGTCCGTTCTACTCCAAGGTGGCATCCCCATATGGGTGTGTGTGTGTGCGTTTGATTTTGAAGGCTGCCCCCAAGATTCTGGATTTCCTTTTGGATTGCCTTGAAACCAACCCCAGCCCGGGTATCAAAAAAAACGAGCCCATATGCCTGCCCAAGTCGCGAGGTGATACGGTGATACGCGCCTTGAGCTTGTCGGGATTCTTAGGCTGGTAGCTTCATAAGTTTTTTTTGTTGGGGCTTCTCGACTATCTGCCGGGTTGCCTGGTGAAGGGGAAAAACGACTCGATTTGTGGCTGGCTATCTTCAATGGAGACCAGCTGAAAGGACTCATTCCCCATCCAATGCACCCACGAAATCGCGAAGGCCTTGTGCTCTGGAGTCTCGAACAGTGGCCTTAGACCGCCGCTTCACGGAGATCATCCCTGTGAAGAACCCTGTCAGGTCGGGTAGTATGACAATTCAAAATAAGTCGCAAAGCTTCACTTTGTGTCGGGATACATGCGTTGCCCGCTCAAGTCTGTGAGACGCGGAAACCTGGAAACCTCCAATCAACGGCGACCCCCGCACATCGCGCGTGCGCAACCCCGTGGCAGAAGCGTCAGGGAAGCGATGCCGAGATGCTGCCACGGACAACAGGCATTGACATACTAGGATTTGTCTCCCTCAAAAAATTGGTTTTGTCTCCTCTGATGATTACATGGATTTCTTTCCCTCTGATATATATATATATACATATATATATATATATAGTTGTTTCCATTCTTCCCCTAAAATGGGTGCTGTCCATGTGGCGTTCCTTTTCTGCCCCAGACAGCTTTCGGATCTCTGTCCCTGGCTCCGGAGAAACAAAACACGCGGAGCGGCATTGGGATTGGGGGGGCGAGGCTTCGAGGGGCGGGGCGCCAGCGGTCCGGAGTTCCGGAAAAGGTCGCAACGTTGGGGGTGCCACGTTGGGGACGCCGAGGTGGAACAGCTATAAATTGAAAACCCCCCTTAATGCTTAAGGTAAGAGGTTTTTGCCGTGCCAAAAGGGGTGCCAAAGGTGGCCCCCGCTTTGACTAACTCCTCAAATGAAAACTCCTTTCAGAGGGATCATGATCTGCTCTGAAAATAGCTGACGCAGCTGGAGTTCGAATTCCATCTCCCATCAACAAAACATATGGCTGTGGCTCAAAAGTGGTGCCCAAAATGGCACCTTGCCAAATGGAACCAAGACTAGCACCTGCGTAAACCCAGCTCTTTAATTCTGAGCCACACCCGGTTGTTTTGTTCTTAGGCCTTCTTGCTTTCTGCTTTTTGAACAAAAGACAGAAGCACACGGGTTCCACATGCGAATGTCCAAACATCACCGCTGCTTTGAACCAGGGTGCCAAACAGAGCTATGGCTCTCACGGCATTCTTGCTTCGATGGGGAAGCAATCAAGTTGGCATTTGGGCGGCTCGTCTTTTGTTGATCAGTAACTTTTTTGGGCTGGGTTTAAAAGGAACCGGCAAGGAAACTAACCATTTTTTGGGGCCCAAAAAAGACGGATCTCCTAAAAACAAACACACCCATTTTCAGATAAACAAATGAACTCAGGCGACTTTGCGCATTTGGCAGACTGCAAAGCTCCAAGGGTATGCCACAATTGATGTCAAGGGGCATGTTCGGGTTCTGGTTTTTCGGAGGTTTGGAGGTTCTCTACCACTTCGGGGTATAAACAGCCTTATGAGCTTGTATTGGTGGTATAAGGATCCTATATAAGGATCCATACCTCCAAACCCATACCTGAAAATGACCACCGCTCCCCACTAAAACCAGAACATAATGGTTCATAGCCGTGCTGATTCCCTCATCTGAGCACCGGCAAGCTTTACACTCTGCCGAGATCGGTGGAGTGCCTTTCAAAAGCAGCCCCTCGGAACTGGAATCCAAAGGTAATTGGGTGATCAGAATTGGATTAACTGCTTCACCTCATCGATTGTGTGAATTTGTCAATCAAAGTGTAATTGTGTGAAGTAACTATGTGAACAGAACCTATACGCCTCATCGATGCCGGCCTTCAAACCTGACCCTTCAAAACCTTTAAAACGGTGTGTCTTTTTTCGGGGGACCCCTGGCGTCAGTGGTCCTTTTGGTTTCCTTTACAACAAGAACAGGGTACCCTCGAAACGAGGCGCCTCGCCCGCCCGCCCGGCTCCGGTTTCATCCGAGGCGAGCCGCGGCCCCATGGGGAACTCGCTCCGGCGGATCTCCTTGCCGTCCTGCGAAGCCCCCGGTACGACACGGGTTTCCCCTTCCACTTGCTGAAGTCCCCTGGAAAAAATGAAAGTACTTCCAGTAGTGATAGATTCCCTTTAAAGCCAACAGGGGAAATAGACAAATATTCTTAACCAAATGGAAGAGTCTACTTCCCCAGAAACAAGCTTCACTGTTCGAAAAAGGCCAGACTCCAGCTGATAGCCCTCGGGGACCCTTCCTAAGGCAGTGTCCAGTGTTTGCTCATTGCGAGTCAATCGCCCCCGCAGCCAATGTGCTTGGGGTGCGTTTCACGCGAGTAAGCCAACTGCTCTAGCAGTTGGCACTTCCCCTGTTCAGGCCCTCAATTTGAGGCTGCAACATGTCTCCAGCTGCTACTGTGGATGGACGCAATCCGTTCGCACCACGGAATGAACGGTATTTACAGGGTATCGAATCATAACACCAGGGTTTCTGAACGGTGGTGCGGTACATCCACAGCTATGACAACCCAAAAAAATAGGAAAATGCCAAGCTGGTCATCCAGTCCGCTCCTAGTAGGGCTCCATGTTCCACGAAAAGGCTTAGGTTTGCAATGATCCTGGAGGTAGGAACGAAAATAACGCGAAGTCCAAGTCACAGCTAAAGGCTGTTTCTTAGCTTTGGTGCAGAATAATGGTGGAGATAGATGGCCATGGGTCAAAATCCCGTACCCCCAGTGAACATCCCAGTCACCACTAAAATAGGTTCGTAAATCGGTGGTGAATTCACCTGCCAACCAAAATGGTACCATTGGTGTTGACCCGCGGCCAGATGAGAGCTCGAAACATCTGAGATCCTCACCTTAGAGTCGCAAAATAAACCGTCGCCTTGCATCTTCACGCCCGCTAGCAATAACGGCCTGTCGAGCTTTGGTGAATTCCCCTTCCTAACTTTCCTGCAGATCAAAATGAGCCCCCTCAAAATCCTCTACGTCTTGCAATAAGCCTAATCTTGGGTTTTCTTTTTTGGGGGCCCTTTTGCGGGTCTTGCTGAAAAAATATGGGCCTGGGTCAAAAACCCATACCCCCAGCAGCCACTCAAATAGGTTCTAAAATGGGTGGTGAATTCACCGACTCCCAAGATGGGACCAAAAAGGTTTTGACGACCACGGCCATGTCTCAAAGGCGAACCTGGCCAAACAGGCTCGTGTTGTTTCAGGATACCCTTGGTTTCTTTACACCTGGACATTGGTCGGTTCCTTCGGCTTCCCAGGGCAATATCGCAAGCAATGGAACGATGCCATCGTTTCGTCAGATTGGAGCTGCCTCGTCCAGGCCCAAGCTGGGGCAGAAGACCAGGTGTGGGCACAGACCGCCTCAGTGACCCAGAGCTCCCGAAAAAAGAAGCTTGACTTGGTTGACGTTGGGTTTGGGGAGCAAACATTCTCAAATGTTAGCAGTTAAGTGGTTGGATTTTTCAACCACTAAACCACAATTTGCAAAAATGTAACATGTTTCCCAACAACAACCATGTTGAACCCCTGGGTTTTGTAGAGAAAACCACCCCTATGTCAAGGATTCGACTTACAGGACTCCGGTTGCCACTGATGAACCGGTATTCTCTTCCACGCTTTAGCATGCTACATCCTCTCGCTACCAGCGATAGCGGCAAGCAAGCGACAAAACTGAGACTCCCTGTAAGTTGCACGGCCGGCATGAAGAATGATTCACTATCTAAGTGGGTGGGTTCCTTGATCACTTTGGCAGTTGCTGAATGAACTGGATTTCCAATAATCATGCGTCGGCAAACGGCAAGTTTAGAATGACCCTTGACACGTCAAACCAGGGCAGGCCCTGGTATCATCTCAATTTAATTCTCTCAATGTAACCGGGTGCTAAAATGGCCAACACGGGTTTTGGACGCTGCAAACTGCTCGAAAGACTTTGTGGTCCCCGTGACTGCAGGTGTTCGTGCGCACTAAATTCAGACCACTCAATTCAGCGGAGGTTGGGCGCCTCTGGGCATGATTTGGAAATCGCTTCGGCACTGGTTGCCTTGAGCAATGCGATCTCCCTGCCTACAATAGTTGTACAAGCAGAAGTGCACCATGCAACTGTAGGAGCCGCCTGCGCAGAAGCGGGCGTTGAGCCGGTCCAATATGCCCTCCCTCTGAATAGGAGCTTCCCGCTGTGAAGGAGGCTTCTTCTTCTGCATGTGAAAATCCTTAGTCACATCCCCGATGATGTCGCCGTCTAGGCCGTGGAGCTTGAGGGTTTTCAGCGGCTCTCTCCCGCACGCAGCCTCTTCAACGGCGATCACCGCTGAGTAGCTGTTCAGTAGCTGCTCCTTGTTCGGCAGATCGAGAAACCCGCTCAGCGCGCAGTACTCTGCGTCGAACGCGACGACGCCGTCGAGTGTCTTGATCGCGGGGTCGCTGTAGGCGGGGCCGCCCTCCAAAGCAACGAAGGACCCAGTCCAGGTTTGGCTGAACCAGGACATGTTCCCGGTAGCACGGGCGGCGTTGCAGCTCGGAATGACGTCGACATAGCTTCCCTCACCATAGGCCCAGTACTGTGCATCTGCAATTTGCTCGGGCCGAATCACCGGAGGAGTTTCCAAGTGCAAGCCGCTTTGCAGCAACACCATGCCCATTGCCATGTCCTGCAACAGCATGGCTTTAAATGGATGGAAGTTCGATATCAAGGCTTGAGCCCAAGCACGCTTGCGGTCAACATTTGCTATATGCATGGACATGGGTCCTGTTCATAGGTACCCCTCCCCCAGACTTTGTGTGCTCCCCGGCAAAATCTAAATGCTTGAGAGAGCACGGCCCGAACGCTCGCTCCGTTTCCCACAAGTGCAAAACGCTGCCTTGTTGCCAGGCTTTAGACAAGTCTTAGGCTAAGCCTTTGTAAGCTGGAAATCTAAGGACAGCCAACCTCTCTGGCGTGACCCCAAAGGATTCTCATCATCATGTTCATGTCAAAAGGCTTAGTTCCGAAAATATACGGTGATTCGGGCACCCTTGTTGGGAAACTCGAGAGGTTCAAGCCATGGTCTCATGCAGAAAGCGACTCTCAAAGTTGACGTTCTTGCGCTGAATCGAAAAATGCGCTTCAGCTCTTGTCTTCCTGGTCCCATCGAGGAATTCACCTACATTGTTGCCACTCTAAAATGTAAGCGCAAGAGTTGTTGCTATTGATGCGATAGTGGCAAGCAAGCGACAAAACTGAATCCCTTGCTAAGTTACATGGCCGGCATGAAGAATGGTTCCCTATCTAAGTGGGTGGGTTCCTTGATCACTTTGGCAGTTTCTGAATGATTTGGAGTGTGCAAAGCCATCCTTTTTAACGATTAATCGTGCGGACGAAAGCGGCAAGCTTGGAACGACTCTTGTCATGCCACTATCTCCTGTGTGCTTCCGCAAGGTGCAGCGCTCAATAAACCAGGCTTGGCTTCCATAGGGATCTAGACTTATGTCCATTTGATCGGGTGGTAAAAAAAAAAAAAAAAACTGGCAACGAGGCGTTCGAAGGCAAACTGCGGGAAAGGAAGTTGGTCCCACCCCGGGATCCCGATGTGTGGGCATTCCGACCTCTCACTTCAGCGGAGGTTGGGCGCCTCTGGGCATGATTTGGAAATCGCTTCGGCACTGGTGGCCTTGAGCAATGCGATCTCCCTGCCTACAATAGTTGTACAAGCAGAAGTGCACCATGCAGCTGTAGGAGCCACCTGCGCAGTGACGGGCGTTGAGCCGGTCCAATATGCCCTCCTTCTGAATAGGAGCTTCCCGCTCTGAAGGAGGCTTCTCCAGCTGGCTCTCAAAATCCTTTGCTATCTCCATCTCGATGTCCTCCTCCAGGCCGTTTACCTTGAGAGTCTTCAGCGGCTCTTTCCCGCACGCGGCCTCTTCAACGGCCATCACCGCTGAGTAGTTGTTCAGTAGCTGCTCCTTGTTCGGCAGATCGAGGAACCCGCCCAGCGCACAGTACTCCGCGTCGAACACGAGGACGCCGTCGAGCGTCTTGATCGCGGGGTCGCTGTAGGCGGGGCCACCCTTCAAAGCAACGAAGGCTGCAGGCCAGGTTTGCGTGAACCAGGAGAAGTTCCTGGCCGCGTGGGCGACGTTGCAGCAGGGAATGACGTCAGAGCTTCCCTCACCATAGGCCCAGTACTGTGCATCTGCAATTTGCTCGGGCCGAATCACCGGAGGAGTTTCCAAGTGCAAGCCGCTTTGCAGCAGCACCATGCCCATTGCCATGTCGTGCAACAGCATGGCTTTAAATGGATGGAAGTTCGATATCAAGGCTTGAGCCCAAGCACGCTTGCAGTCAAAATTTGCTATATGCATGGACATGGGTCCTCTTCGTAGCAGCTCCTCACTTCCTGAGTGGATTGCCCAACAAGTCCAACCTGTTGTTTGGCACTTAAATGCTTTCTCAAATATAGCTTCTCTTTTGGTCGGCTTAAACAAAAAACAACCAGGGTTGCCATTTTGGGGGTACCCCGAAGAAAAGCGCCAGAAAGGGTCCAGCTCTCAATTGACTCGCTCAGCTCCGGGACTCCGCGCCGTGCTCGTCGCCCACGCCCTGCAACACTGGCACCTCCTGAGCGCGCGCGGGGGGGGGGGGGGGGCTACGTGAGCGACGGAGCGGGGCTGTGTGGTGGAGTTCCACGTTCTGCACTGGAACTGGATTGGGTTACATCTGTACGCAGCAAGTCGTATATCTACCTTAAAGCCTATGTATCGTGGTACCCTTCAAAAATTGCACTTATAGTACACCCCCCTCCTCCCCCAAAAAGAAGAAGAAGGAAACAGAATCTAGGGTACGCGGAAAATCTGGGGTGCTACATGCGTACTTGCCTATTTCGTATACTCTAAAACATCCGGAAGACTTCGGAAGAGAAGGTTTTGGGAACCAAATCGCTCATTCCCGCAGCCCTGCTGCTGACATTTTGACGTTTTCCCCACACGGGGTAAACCCTCCTAGAGGCTTCGACTCACTCTTTTGAAGCCGCCCGTTTCAAGTTGGTCCACAGAGATACCTGGGTGCAAACTCACGCAACAGTCATCAGACAGGAAACTAAGACCCAGCTCTTCGAAATACGATGCCAAAAAGAATACCAACTGTGGAGTGGGAGGGGGGGGACCCGATTGGGCCTCCCAGCTATTGGTGGAAACGTGGGACTAATGGTGGACACAGAGCATGTATTGACATTGGATGACCGGTTCAACGGGCTTCTATAAATGGGATCAAATCTGTGCTAACACATATTCTCTATGACGCAAGCTCACCCTTGGGTTGAGGTACCCAAACACCACATGCATTGACTGGTCCCATAAGCTATGGTCAAGATCAATTTTCAGGCCCTCACGCTGCGAATGTGGAAAGACATGCACCTTGGCAGCAACCCTTTCTGCTCCTCAAACCTCCGAATGCGATTCCCATCATCCGAATCATTTGGCCATGGGTCAAAACCCCGTACCCCCGGTGAACATCCAATTTTGGCCATTTTGGAGTCATGGCCATTTTGGAGTCAGCCGCTAGATGCTGACGCCTGACTGCCTCGCTTTGCATCTCAGCCCCCATGGCCTCGATTTTCTCAGAGTTTGACTTCGCCCCGAATCGGATCCTGGGTAGTTCTCAAAATAGGAATCGGCTCCCTAAAATGTTGATATGTTTCCTCTTTGTTTTGGTTGACACACAAACTGATTGAACCACACAAAGCCATGGTATGACCCCTGCCTCCTCGTCAGGGCGGTGGCCAAAGAGCTCGTCCTTGCCTTCGGGGCTCTCCTGACATCAAAACTACATGTGGCCGTGGGTCAAAACCTTTTTGGTACCACTTTGGGGTAGGTGCACCACCCATTTTAGAACCTATTTTAGTGGGGATTGGGATGTTCACTGGGGGTACGGGATTTTGACCCATGGCCCTGTGTCAACACATAGATGTGCCCAAATGAAGGCTTACTTACGTGTGTGCATTAATATGTACAGCAACTAAAAACCACAAGTGCTGGGAGTGAGACTTCCACATGTTTGGCCCCCCTCTATTGCAAGCCTGGGAAGGTCTGGCTTCTGAGCGGAAAGCAAAGGGGAGAGCGGCATGAATAGGCAACGCTAGCCTTGACACACTCGCCACGGACGAGAAGTTCCTTCTGCAACGGAGGGACAAGACATCGGAGGTGCTTCCTTTGCCAGTGCTCATTGAAACTGTCGCTTGAGATCAGAGAACTGGAATGCCGATAGGGTTGCCGCCAAGGATGCAGTGCCGAACAAAATACTGTTGAAACGACAAGGATCCCAGTAAGCTGTGTTGCCTCAAATGGGTGCGTCTTTTTTAGGGAAAATGGTAGGTTGCAAAGGGAAACCAGAAGGACGCCCGCAAAAAACAAAGTTGGGAGGTCCCCTAAACCCAAATGGCCAACATAAGTGATTGGCATTCAGGATCTTCTGCTCCGCAATCCGCAAAAGTCACAGCCGGCCTTTTGGAAAAATAGATGGGTCTCCCTAGTAAATGGATAGCATAAAACCCATCACCAGCGGAACCCCCTCGGTTTGTCCACCAACCTGACCTTTTAAAAAAGGGACACCGATACTTGTGCATTCCATGTCTGGTTCCGAAAAAAATAGTTGTACTGGCCTCAGTAGTTTACCATGATCAAAGTCACCCTCTAGGTGGGTTAAAGGGAAGCAACCAACCAGCTTGTGACTTTCATAACCCCCAGCAAATGAACATGCCGACTTCGATAACCCGCCTGACAAAACTGAAAAGCAACCCCCAGAAAACTCTGACCCCGTTGGGATAAGCCACCCAGTGTTCACCCGGACAAAAACCGGCCCGTACCTAACCTTAGGCCCGACCACACCCCGCGGGTTTTTCCGCTGGGGATCTGCGGCGCTCCTGGGCCATCTGGATCTCGGGCTGCTGGGCCAAGACCATCAGCTTCCTATCCGGCTGGGTCCCAAGGGTGGCAGGTGGCACTCAGCCCAGCCATGCGAGAAGAAAAAAAAAGGAACCATTGGGCAGTTGAAGGTTGGTTGGCTGGTTGGCTGAGTTAGTTGAGTTGGTGAAGTTGAGTTAAAGTTAAAGGGTTGGTTGAGTTGGTTGAGTGTAAAGGGAGCCCTTCCCAAAAAAAAAGAATAAAGGGGCACCACTGAGCAACTGGGGGCAGAATTGGGGGGGGGAAATACTTGGTTGCTGTTGGTCCCCCTGCAAAAAGTGAACTGTTGGCCGGTTTCAATGGAAAACCATCTTGATTTCCCATTCGCGGAACTTTCGCGGAGGTCAACGCCAAGACCAAAAGGTCTTCCCCTGCCTAGATTCTTACATCAATACAAGGACAGTGTACGTCTGGTCAATAAAGTGTTGAGTTGCAAAGCACATCACACTGGCCACGCGCCTCCACAGTGTGCGCCGCGCAGCAAGCATAAAGCATGCAGCTGATGTCTTGCTGTGCATTTACCCGCCGGCCACGCTGCTTCGACGGGATTCCGCTCCAACGCATACAGTTGGGCCAGTTTGCGGGGATGCTTTTCCCACTGGCCACCAGCGAGCGATGCGACTTTATACAAGCCGATGCAACTTAAGTCTACCCCTTGTACCATTTGGAGTTCCATTTTTTCAGTGGCCAATTCCCACAGAACCTTCTCGGGCACACCGGATTCCGGCTCACCCGCCCGCCCATCCGCCCGAACCCCGTCCAACGGAAGCAGCGCCCGCTGCTCACCCGGCGCCTGTGCATGGCGATGAGCTTGGCCTTCCACTGCCGCACGAAGACCACCCGCCGGGGCCGGTCCAGGCGCGGCAGGCACTCGCAGACCTGGCAGGTGCGGAAGGCGCGGGACGCGCGGAGGCGCGGCGCCGTCTTCAAAGACCGCAGCTTGGGAGGGAGCCGTTTGGCGGGGGCCGCATGGAAGGGAGGCTTGACAACCCTTGACAAAGAACTGATGGCTTTT